TTTCACCCCAAAGCAGCTGAATTCACTTTCTCCTCAGCAGGACATGGAACTTTTCCAAAACAGGCCATATTCTAGGTCACAAGATAAGTCTTAGCAAATACAAAAAGATCATGCATTCTATCGAAACATAATGGAATGAAACTAGAAATTGACAGCAAGAAAATAATAGAAACCACATAAACACATTAAGATTAAACATTACTCTTTTAAACGAAGAATAGATCAAAGAAGAAATGAGAGGGGGAATCAACAAATTCTTAGAAACAAATAAAAACAAAGATAAACCATATCAAAATATTTGCAATACTATGAAATCTGCACTAAGAGGAAAATTCATTGCATTGAGTGCCTACATCAAAAAATGGAGAGATCCTAAGTAAATAAGCTTTGACCCACCTCAAACCCTTATAAGAAAAACAAAATAAATCCAAAATAAGTAGAAGACAAGAAATAATAAGAATCAGAGCCAACATTAATGAAATTGAAAATAAAAAAATAAACAGGTTTAGGCTGGGGTTGCAGCTCACTGGTAGCGCACTTGCCTAGCACCTGTGAGGCACTAGGTTAGATTCGCAGCACCACATATAAATAAATAAAATAAAGATCCATTGACAACTAAAAAAATATTTTTAAAAATACACAGGATCAATGCAACAAAGAGTTGATCCTTTGAAAAGAACTTATTTTGAAAATTTATACTCCAATGAATGCAAAATCTAGAAGTCATTGACAGATTTCTAGACACATATGACTTGCCCAAAGTAAACCAGGAAGATACAGAAAACCTAAACCGTCCAATATGAAGTAATGAAATTGAAACAGCAATTAAAAGCCTACCAACAAAGAAAAGCCCAGGACCAGATGGATTCTCAGCAGTGTTTTACCCACACCCACCAAAATGGTTAATATGAAAAACACTGATATTACCAAATGATTATAAGGATGTTGGTGAAATAGTAAAATAGTATAAAAAGGTATAGAAGTTTCTCAAAAAAGTAAACATACATTTTTGTCCTACAATTCCATTCCTAGGTATCTCCCAAGAAAAATGAAAACATATGTCCTCAAAGAGAATTATACAAAAAAAGTATATAGTAGATTTATCCATAATAACCCAAAAGTAAAAAAACAACCTAGGTATCCATCAACATAAGAATATATAAAGATGGCAGCTCAGAGGAATCCACAGTGTTGCAGCAGCTCTCCAAGAGTGAATTAAATTAGTAGTTCTGCAGTGACAAACTGCGGTAAGAAAACAAGGAAAAACAGGGAGGCAACTCAATGAGCTAGTATCTAGAAGAAACCCCAAAATTTTGGGTCCTAGAATAGAAAAAGAATTAATAAAGGCACATATGGTGGCAGTGTGGGGTATGCTTTAGCTCAGTGGGCAGGGAAAGCACTCCTCTATCTAGATGAAAGACACTTTCCCATCAAACTTTATAAAAACAGACAATAATCAACATATCCTCAAGAGGAACAGATAACAAACTCAGGAAAGCTGGGATGTGCCTACCATGGGGAAAGCGCAGGAGTCCCTACCTAGAGAGAGAATGAGTAATTCCCAGCAGAGGTATTTGAATCTCCCTAACATAGGTTGTCAGACCAGGGAAAGCACTGATAACCTGAAGATACTCACTGAGCAGACATGGAATTCCTGCAGTATACCATCAATTTTCAAGAATCCACAAGACACTAATTAAAAAAATTATATATATATATATATATATATATATATATATATATATATATATATCAGAAAGGTCAGTAGTGTAGATGGAAGGGAATAGGGGAAGGAGGGGGAGAGAAAGGGAAGTCCCAACATCCCTTTCTAGGGCATGCTTCCAATGACCTAACTTTCTTCCACTAGGACCCACCTCCTCTAAGTTCCACCACCTCCCAATAGGGCCACAGGCTGGCAACATATGAGCCCTGGGGCTGGGGTTGTGGCTCAGTGGTAGAGCACTTGCCTACTATGTATGAGGCACTGGGTTGATTCTCAGTACTGCATATAAATAAATAAATAGATAGATAGATAGATAGATATCCATCAACAACTAAAAAACTTTTTTTTAAAAAAAGGAGTTTTTTAAAAAAACACATGAGCCCTTAGAAGATGTTCCAGATCCAAACCATAGGAACTTCACTCCCTACCCAGTTTAGGTGTCATAGCACTTCAACTACTCTTTTGTTAGGAGTTTCACTGCTCTTACCATTTTTCCTCTACCATTTATTAAGCAATTACTACTATGGGCCAATCTACAGACATCATCTCTGCTACTCCTCACAAAATCCATACATGGTAAATATCATTGATCATTTTTACAAATAAGTAAAAGTACTTAAAGAAATGAGGTATCTTACAAAAGGTGACACTGCTAGACAGTGGTGGAGTAGGGTACAATTGAAAAATGTAGGAGAGGAAAGCAGACAAATGTGAAGTAAGAATTAGTAGATGTGTGACTTTACAGGCTGGATCCAGTTGACTTTGACTGAGGATGCACAACTAGGAGTGCCTAGAATAAACCAAAAACAAATCAATTCAATATCTTCTCTCAGAATAAAATGTTTACCTTAACTTCTTTGGAAATATACATATTGTATATTTTATATATGTATATTTATTTTCAATCAGTCCTCCTTATCAGTAGGCTCCATGTCTGTGCATCCAACTAAAAAAGGATTGAAACTATTCTTTTAAAAACCTGTACTGGGGGACTGGGGTTGTGACTCAGTGGTAGAGCACTTGCCTAGCATGTGTGAGGTACTGGGTTTGATTCTCAGCACCACATAAAAATAAATGAATAAAATAAAGGTCCATTGACAACTAAAAAATTCTTTTTTAAAAACCTTTACTGGGACAGGGGATGTAACTCAGTGGTAGAGCATTTACCTAGCACATGTTAGGCACTGAATTTAATCCCCAGAAGCCAAGGTGGGGAACCTGTATCTGAACTTCCTAAAGGTTCCACCACCTCCTAATATTACCACAGGCCAGCAACCAAAGCCTTTCACACATGAACCCTCAGGGGTCATTCCATAGCAGCTTCACTCCCTATCCAGTCTGGTGCCAAGGTGCATCATTTCAATATCTCTTCAAACACTCTCTTGTTAACAGCTTCACTTTTCTTTTCCTTGCATTATTGCTTCAACAATAGAGCATAAAACCTATTTACATAGCATTTACATTGCATTAGGCACTGTAAGTAATGTAGAGATGATTTATGGTACACGGGAGGATATTACAGGTTACATGAAAATTGAACACCATTTGATTGTATAAGGGACTTGTACATCTGATAATTTTTGTATGCACTAGGGTCCCTGGAGCCAATTCTCCTAGGATACCTACAGACCACTGTGTGTGTGTGTGTGTGTGTGTGTATTTCTAGGTATACTGCTATTTTCCATGTGCTGGGAATTTATTATAGTCATATTTATACTTTTAGCTGTCCCATGAGCTACTATCCCATTTTATAAGAGGAAAGTGAGGCATGGGAAGATTAAGAAAACTACTTAAGGTTAAACACAGTTCATGGTAAAGATGGGATCAGAATCCAAGTCTGCTGTCTCCTAGACACCCAACAAAGTCCCAAACTTAGATTCCTACTTCCCAAATTACCCACTGACTGTCCAAGAATTGTGGGTAGGGGTACCCTAAGGAAGCACTGAAAATCTTTGTTCCAACCTTACTTAACAAAGAGCTGAGAAGTAAACCTTGAGACTAGTGAGTTCCCAAGACCCCCTCTGAGAGGGTCTTGCATACAATGTATCACAATCAGCTTTCTGCAAACTTACTCTGGGGAGTGCTCATGTTTTTTTTTAACCTCTCCCCTCATTCTGAGGGCACTATGTCCCACAGGAGCAGCACACCTATCACAGCAACCCAACAGGCCCACAGAAAGATTAGAGAACGGCTCAGTCAAGTTTCATTTCTGCTCTCACGAAATCAAAACAGTCAATGACAAGTATCAAAGTAACCTATTTGGATCTGCTATTTTTGGATCTGCTATTCCCCTTTAAACCATAATCTGGAGTCAAATGGTCATGCAGGGGCCCAGGAATCCATATGCAAATTGAAGACTTTTTTTTTTTTACTAGATGGTTAAGAGTTTTCCCCAGATTTCCAAGGGGTCCATGCCCACCCTTTCACACACCCCCAACCCCCGAAAACACAAACCATTGAGAATCCTGTCTTCAAGTTCTGTCAGCCAGAGGTTTTGTGACATCTTTACCTGAGTCGCGCGTGGGCGCACAAGCAGTGTCAGTCCCTGCTCCCTCGGTGGGTCAGCTTTCCTTTTGGTTCTCAACTCTATCCCCCATGAACGCCTACACACCCGCACCCCAAGTACGCGGCACCCCCACGCACTCCACACATGCATATAAATCACCTCACACAGTTCCATACACATACACACCTCCAGAGGCGTCACAAGAAATCCCAACACACACCCCTCCATGCAGGAACATAACAAGATTTATCTTATGCACACCCCCTACACCCGCACCTGAATAATCACCATACGCCCCCACACATTTCCACACATACATACATATCCCTGCACTCAGGCGCCTCCACACTCATACACATCCCTTCGCACACATGCATTCCCAGCTCACCATAGGCTCACTTGCACACGCCCCCATTCCCACCAGCATCCTCAAGACCTTTTCCCTCAACTTCCTTGCAATGGCTGGTTTCTGGAGCCGACCCGTCCCGCCCTCCAGCTTCCACAATGGTGAGGTCCCTCCCTAGCCGCTGAGTTCATCCCACCCAAACCCACCGCAGTTCCGCAGGCCTGTGGGACTGGACTGCCGCTACACTCCAGTCCCAGTAGACAGGGTGGTGGGCACTGCACCTTCCACAGCCAGCCACCAGGTTTTCAGACCACAGGAACTTCAGGGACGTCAGCAGAACTGCCTAAGGGAACTTCCCCTATTTTGGTCCTTCAGAATCCAGGTGCGGGAAGTTGTTTCCCATCCTCGCGGCAGAAAGCACTTACCTGGTTCCCAAAGCAGCTTGCCCTTCTTTACTTCCTGTTAGTGGGGAAGGGATTCCAAGAGACAACCAAAGTCTTTGGGGCCGGGAAGGGGAAATGACTCTTGGAGGAGGCGGCCCAGAGGGAGGGACCGGCCTGGAAGGGGGTGGGGCACTGGGGAGCAGGAGCGAAAGGAGAGGAAAATGCGCGTGGAGAAACTGCTCCAGAGGAGAGATTTTGAGGATGTCTAGAGAAATCTTGGAAATCCCTCCTGGTCAACACTGACCCCAGAAGCTACTGGGCTAGATGATTTTCTTCTTAAACTTGATACCCCATGCCAAAGGCAATCATGGCTAACACCCTTGCCTGCAGTTGCCAGGTGTCTTTCTGCGCGTCTAGGCACAGGATGCAGGGATTAACTATTCTTGTTCTAGGGAGGTAATAATAGTCTTTATTACATGTGCTTGCTGAATGGATTAAATGAATCACTGCATCCCAAGAGCTTAGCATACTATCAGGCACAGTATAAGCAATCAATTAGTGATAGCTCTTATGATTAGAAAAGTGCTTATTCGTTGATCTCTGCCTCATTGGATTATGAGTTTTATCAGGGCAGGGACTATGTAGCCATATTTATTACTGAATTCCAGCACCTAACACAAAGGGACTATGGACAAATAATTTGTTGAATGAATCAATAAATAGATAGTTGAATGATAATTTGGGCTAATGGCTAGACCAAGACCCTCTTTCTCAGTCAGATAAGGTGTGTATTTGTGGAAGTTTGGTGGAGGGGTAGGAGAAAGGCAATGATTGGGAAGGTGGTGTAAAGGACCCTGTCGGTTGCTATATCAAACGGCCTGTTCTACTCTTGGAATATGGAATATCTTTAGCAATTTCCTACACACACACATGGAAGATTGTGAAAGCTGAAATTGAGACATGGCTATCTAGAGCAGTATTTGCATCTTGTACTATCAATGAGTAAAGCAGGATAAGGGGAAAGGTCTGAAGTGAAAAACTAAAACTAAAGGTGCAAATATAAGTGGGAGAGATTGAAGTTCCAAGTGAGGTGAAGTGGGTATGGGGGAGGATAGTCACTTCAAAAGTGAATCCCCCATACCCACTAAAGTAAAGCTATGTCATCTGCCTCTTTGTTGTAGTCATTAGGATTCCCTGTGATCTATCTTAATGTCCCAACATTCTTGGGTAGGTATACAGATTGGGCTTCTATCACTACATTCACTAAATTTTCATTCATGGAAATCCAGTTAGGGCTAGCAGAGACCTTGTAAATTACCCATATACTTCAATTGATCATTTAAAAAACTTAAGCTAACCCCAAACAAGGGAGGCTAGGGAGGGGAATAATAGAAATCCATTGGATTAAACAAAGGGGAATGAAGGGAAGGGAGGGGAAGAGGAATAAGAAAGACAGTAGAATTAACTGGCCATAATTTTCCTAGCCTTGTGTTTGTTTACATGACCAGGGTAACTCCAAATCATGTACAACCACAAGAGTGGGAACCTAAATAAAGTAAGTCATACTTTATGTATGTATAATCCGCCAAAATAAATTCTACTGTCATGTATAACTGAAATTTTTTAAAAATTAATTTAAAAAATAAGGACTAGAGGTAGCAAAGGTTTTGGGCCTTGGGATTCTCTGGCCTTCGTACTGAATATTGCGAGACCTGTATTTTTTTATTCTCCCATTATTCCTTTAATCCCTGAACCATGTCCACCCTCTATATCAAAGAAGCTAAGAAGAAGGGAAGGACATAAACGGAAGGTCACCAGAAGGGACGGAGAAAGGAGGTTTCTCACTAGACCCTGACTTACTTCCTTTTGCTTTCCCCCACCCCCAGGAAAGTTATTTGGAACTTCGGGAAGCCTCTGTAGAAGGACTTTACTCTGGCACTTTGGAGATGTTACACTATTCATATAGGTTTGGCAGACAAAGGCTTGAACCACACAACTAGTCTTGTCAGAGTGCCTGTGATCCTTTCCCAGAGCACAAGAGTATGGCTAGCCTGAGAGGAGATGCTTCAAAGCCATCACCACTTGTCTCCTTATCTCCCCTGGGAGGCTGTGTGAGTCAGTTTTTCATCACCTCCCAACATCTAGGTTCTGATGAGGTACAAGGCTTCCTGACCCATTTTCCTCAGAACAGGACTACAAAATATATAGCCATTTAGCTGCAGTATAGAATTGCCTTCTCAGCATGGGATGTATCCCACACTTCACATGGTAGTCCTCTGGCCCCAAAGTCATCCTTTTTTGTGTTTGAGAGAAGCACCCAGAGGAACTGGAACTTCTGGTGCTTTCTGTTTCCCTATGTTAACAACCATCTGTTAATAATAAATGCAACGAATCTAAAAGTGATTCATTTTATCTTTACTTGTTGAATCAGCCAGGCCTTGAATTTGGCCTTGCCTTATGTGCCTGATAGTTGCTTGCTGTGAATTTCACATTCTAGTATAGCACCCTCCTTTGTTACAAAGGGAGTTGAGCTGGACAAAAAGGTGTAGCTCATAATGGCTTTTCCTCCCCCTGTACATCAAAGGGAAAATCAGTCCATTTTCTGGGACTTTCAATTTGTCTGGAGGAGTAACAGATTCTCTTTGCATTCTCTATATGAGGCCAACCTTACAGAAAGTAGAGTTGGCATCTATATTCCAGTATTTGAAGGATTCTTCTTGGCTCACAATATGTTCCCTACAAGTCTTCCAATACATTGTCTGTTGACCCTTATAAACCTGAAAGCTCAGAGCTTGCCCTCCCCACCTTGTTACCCCTAGATGACAATGAAAGTGTGTTTCTAAAAGGTCCTTGTTAACATTTATGAAAAGGAAGAGGTAGAGTAAGTAGTTGGTAAGGGTATGTATTTTGCCCACACTTCTTCATTAGCACATTATTGATGACTAATTCATATATTCTTCTAACTGTTCTCTTTGAAGAAGCCTGGCCCTAAAGAATAACCAAAATACACGTTTATAGGAATGCTGAGTCAGGAGTACAAGGCAGGGGGGAATTATATAAGTGGTGATGGCGAGTCCTGCTTGTTAGTCTGCTGATCAGGTTCTGTTTCTATTTTACGAGCATTTACTAAAAATTTACTAGGAACAAGTCTCCATAGTAGGTACTAGTAAGAGCTTCCACTTTTGTCCCTATGTCTCCATTAAATGCTCCCTTTCTCAATTATCAATAACTCACTGAGTTCAGACACCTAACACTATTTGAGAATTATTGACTTGGGTGCTCTAATAAGAGTATTCACAATATTTTTCATCTTAGGATACCCTCACTGAAATGAAGAGTGCTAGGAACATAATGAGTGGTCAATAAATGCTTCTTGAATCAGGCCAGATAAGTCACAACTATAATTTGTGCATTGTGCCCTGCAATTATAAGATCACTTCCTTCTCCACTCCTGCAAATTCACAGTGGAGGACTCATTCTCATTAACTATCATGCTATATACATCCCCCTATATCTACAGAACTTTCTTGATCTCTGTTACTCCTAACATTTGTAACTGAGACCCCCTCATCCCCACCTATGGGCTCTGCTTCACTGAGATTCTGGGGCCAACTCTTTTCCTACATAGCATATAAGATTCCTGTCTTTGTTCTGGCACATTGAACAGAGATGGTCTTTCCAAACATCACATCACGCATTCATAGACAAAAAAAATACACCTGAAAACCTTGGCTGTTATTATGGTTCATGAAAGGAAAGTGACCATAACACTCGGAGCACCAAGAGATCTTTATTACAGCAGTGCAACAGAGGAGAAAAGAGAGAAAGAGGAGAGAGAGAGAGAGAAAGAGAGAGAGAGAGAGCAAGAGAGAGACAGAGAAAGCAAGAGAGATAGCAAGAGAGAGAGCAAGAGAGACAGAGAGAGCAAGAGAGAGGGGCCCGGCAGGAGGGAGTTTTTATAGCCCAAATCTAATGGGGTCTCTGGGTCTCCAAGCTGCCTTGTTGGCACAAGGGGGTTAAGTGCTCAGCCTTGAGCGGGGGCTTGGGCGTTTGGGCTTGAAGCAAACAGGTGATAAAGAACCAGACAGAGGGTTTGAGTGGTCAGGTCATCCTGCAGCTAACTTTGTTTGGCATGCCCTACAGACAACTTACTCAGCCTGTCCTGCACCTAACAGTTCAGATGTTAGGTGTCCCCCCAAATGCTTATGTGTGAGACAATACAAGAAGGTTCAGAGGACAAGTGATTGGGTTGTAAACATCTTAACGCAATCAGTGAATTAATCCCCTGGTAGCGATGAACTGAGTGGTAACTGAAGTGGTAATGAGTGACTGGAGGATGCAGGAATTGGGGCGTGGCTTTGGGTATATATTTGTATCTAGAAAGTGGAGTTTCTCTCTCCACTTCCTGATTATCGTGATGTGAGCTGCCTCCCTCTGCCACACTCTTTCACCATGATGTTCACCCTCACCTGGAGTCCCTAGGAATGGAGTTGGACTTCTATGGACTGAAATCTCTGTAATCATGAGCCCTAAATAAACAGTTCTTTCTCTACAATTGTTCTAGTAGGGTTCTTTAGTCATAGCAGCTAAAAAGCTGACTAAAACAGCTGTGGACAATAGCCTCATATCTGGCATTTCTCCAGATTACCAATTAGACCAATTATTCCCTAATACTCCAAATTCTTGTCTCCTTTATGTTTTTTTTTTTTCCTTTATGTTTTAATCCTCTTACCTTTGGGCTATACTTCTGTAGGCCCTTGGTCTGACCTCCTTTCAAGTCACTACTCTAACTGCCTACTTGACTGCCCTGTTTGCTTCACATTGCATGGCCTTTTAGTCTCAGGGCAACATCAAATCTGATTAATTACTATGTGGCATTAAAATTTCTTTTAAATCCCAACCCTGAGGTACTGCCTACCATTCCTAGGCTCCTCCTATAAAGCAATTATTTAACAGTAAGTTAGCTCACTGGCTTCTGGTCCTACTCTGACCTTAACCAATGAGTTCTGGCACTAGGGACTTACTTGTTCTCCCTTAGTTCCTAACTTCCATTCCAGTTCCTGAAACTGGATGTGTCATATTTCTTTGGACTTTATATCTTCATTTCCTTGGAGTTGACTGTAAATAGCTCCTAAAATAAAAGTCTTCATTATTGGATCCTGAGTTCC